CGCACGGCAAGGGGTGATCAGGAGAACCGGCCTCCAGTCTCTATCCATGCGCACGGCAAGACATTCATCAGGAGAATGGGCCTCCATCTTCTATCCATGCACATGGCAAGATGTTCATTGCGACAAGCCACCTCCAGCTGCTATCCACGCACATGGCAAGATGTTCATCAGGGGAACCGGCCTCCAGCCTCTATCCACACACACGGCAAGACATTCATCGGGACAACCCGCCTCCAGCCTCTATCCACGCACACGGCAAGACGTTCATCGGGACAACCTGCCTCCTGCCTCTATCCACGCACACACCCCCATTCCGAGGCTAGACCAAGTCACTAACGGGGTTACACACATGTCCCGAAACCCCCCATCCCGAGGCTGGACCAAGGCACCTATGGGGTTACAAACATGTCCTGAGACACCCCCCCATTCCGAGGCTAGACCAGGTCACTAACTGGGTCTGCAAGGTCAGTCCTCACTCCCCAAACTCAGTGCACTTTGTGAGAAACCCTCCCACACCCTCGTTGTGAAGTGCGCTAACACATGGTATCTCATCTGCACACACGAGATGGTGAGGAATGAATGATATGAAGGACACCAGGTGAATCTCCAGCCACAGGACACCTGCAGTTGCTGTGCCAGGGGCCGGCCACATGGCACCCTACAACAGCTCCTGTTCTACCCTTCTCCACCCAGATGCAGACGGCCACAGAAACCCTGACGGCTTGGGTCATTCCAACAGTGACCATCACAACAGCACGCAGAGACTACAGGACAGACTACACAGAACATGGTCAGCTCTAAATGTGTGGACAGAACACAGTCAGGGCTCCATGACACAGCATAGACAAAACACAATCAGGTTCAAATGTGCCAGTGTAGACGGAACATGATCAGGGCTAAACGTGCCAGTGTAGACCCAACAGTCAGGTCTCCATGACACAGTGTAGACAAAACACAATCAGATCTAAATGTGCCAGTGTAGATGGAACACAATCCAGTCTAAATGTGCCAGTGTAGATGGAACAGTCAGGTCTCCGTGACACAGTGTAGACAAACATGGTCGGGTCTAAGTGTGCCAGTGTAGACAGAATACAGTCAGATCTCCATGACACAGTATGGACAGAACACAGTCAGGGCTTCATGACACAGCATAGACAAAACATGAACAGGTCTCAATATGCCAGTGTAGACAAACATGATCAGCGTAGACAAAACAGTCAGGTCTCCAAGATACAGTGTAGGCACAACATGATCAAGTCTAAATGTGCCAGTGTAGACAGAACACAGTCAGGGCTCCATGACGCAATGTAGACAGAACACTGTCAGGTCTAAACATCCCGGTGTAGACAGAGCATAATGAGATCTAAATGTGCCAGTGCAGAGAGAAGAGTCAGTTTCCATGACACAGAGTAGAAAGAACACTTTCAGTCTAAGTGTGCCAGTGTAGACAAAACACACTCTGGTCTAAATGTCCCAGTGTAGACAAAACATGATCAAGTCTAAATGTGCCAGTGCAGACAGAACACAGGGCTCCGTGACATGGTGTAGACAAAACAAGATCAGATCTAAATGAGCCAGTGTAGACAGAACACTGTCAGGTCTAAACATCCCAGGGCAGACAGAGCATGATGAGATCTAAATGTGCCAGTGTAGAGAGAAGAGTCAGTTTCCATGACACAGAGTAGAAAGAACACTTTCAGGTCTAAATGTGCCAGTGTAGACAGAACACACTCTGGTCTAAATGTCCCAGTGTAGACAAAACATGATGAAGTCTAAATGCGCCAGTGTAGACGGAACACACTCTGGTCTAAATGTCCCAGTGTAGACAAAACATGATGAAGTCTAAATGCGCCAGTGTAGACGGAACACAGTCAGGGCTCCATGACACGGTGTAGACAAAACATGATCAGATCTAAATGAGCCAGTGTAGACAGTACACGTCAGGACTCCATGACACAGTGTAGACAGAACACGATCTGGTCTAAATGTGCCAGTGTAGAGAGAAGAGTCAGTTTCCATAACACAGAGTAGAAAGAACACTGTCGGGTCTAAATGTGCCAGTATAGATGAACTCGCTCTGGTCAGACTGTCCCAGTGTGGACAGAACTCACTGGATGAAGTCACTTTTGCAGGACAGGTCAAGTCTGACTGTCCCACTGCACACGGAGTCTGGCTTCACCTTGTCAATTAAAGCAACACACCATGGAACCTAAGTGCACTCAGTGTGGACTGAGCGCAGTCAGGTCCTGTCGCATTGTGGACAAGACTCGGAGGCTCTACTGCACTCAGTGTGGACAGGACGGGGTCAGGTCAGCCCGAGCCCCCCTCGCCGCAGTCCGGATAGAGTGAGGTCTGCATGCACTGTGCCAGCAGGACCCTGTCCACAGGGCCGGCTCGGGGCGGCTCCCGTGGGAGCCAGGCTCACGGCTGCAGTCCCTCGTCGGTGATCAGGGTGCCCACCCCGTGCTGGGGACTCCACAGGAACCACCCGGGGCTCCGTCAGCCTCGGGTGTGCCGGGAAGCCACACAGAATCACCCCACTCTTAAACAGTGGAATGTGTGTTACCAGTTTCTCTGGCCACATGATGGTCAGGATCCAGGGGTAGGCCAGAAACTTCTTGTAGTACAGCCCGGTCTCCTGCAAGGACAGACGAGACGTGCCGGTCAAGTCCCCCGTCCCCGGCTGCAGCGCGTCCTGGCAGGACAGGCCCATGCAGCACAGGGTGCTGGGAGCTGGTCTGCATCCCCCCTGGAGGCCGAGGCCCGTGGGTGAGGGGGGGAACGGCTCCGAGCAGCCGACAGCACGCACGGCCTGCCTCCACAACAGCAGTTCACGTCCACCTTCACGTCAGTGTCCTCGGGAGCCGTGCGGACGGACTGCGTCTGCGGCGCTCAGCCACTTCGTGTACTCGGCTGGCACTCAGAGCATGCACGTGTCGTCTCTGGAAGCCAGCATGGGGAGACGCCACTCTGCACAGAGGACCCGGGAGCATCGGAGCCTCTCGTGCTCGCTGGCCACATCTCCATATGGCCAGTGCCGTGGCTGGGCATGTCACCCTGCCCGCTGTGGGCCCTGCACACTATGGCATTTCCCTACAACGTGTCCAGGGGCCTGCTCTTTGGGAAGCGCAGGGTCTCCCATGAGGCACACAGGCTGAGGGGCTGGCAGAGCCCCTACTGCTGCTTCAGAGGTGGGGGGAGACCGAACGGGACCCTGATCTGGTGACGGGAGCTCTCTGAGGAAAGAGGCCCAATCGAGTCAGGGACATGCTGAGGGACCCCAGGTAAGGAGCTAATTTCGGGGACACAGAGGCCGGAAGCAAGTAGGCGCATCCTCCTCAATTACGGGCCTGGGCTCTCCGAACTGCCAAACCTGTGGGCTTCAAGGGAGCCCGGGCACAGATGGCTAAATGTCATGTAGGGACCTTAGCGGGACCCTGAACGGGACAGAAATAAACGTGAAGGACATTCCTGAGACAGGCATGGTAACGTGTGCAGATCCTTCGCACGGATGTTGTCCTCCAGTGACTTAAGAGTGCCTGAGAGTGAGGACAGGACCACGGTCTCACGGGAGCGCTCACGGCCACACAGGAGGACACAGTCAGGGCCCAGTTCAGTCTGCAGCCCCCTTACGGGCGGTTCTGGTGAACACACACGGCGGCCAACACACCTGTGCATATGCATGGACCTGCACACACACACTCACATGTGCACACATGCATTTGCTCGCTCGCGTGCATTCACATCACAGGCACACGTGCATGCGTGGGGATAAGCTGAAGACGGCGCACACCCACGTGCATTCGCTCACAGGCACAGTGCACACGCGTGTGCATGCACAGCAGAGGCACATGCGCAAGCATGGGTGATAAGGCAAAGATGGCACACACCCACGTGAACTCGCTCACACCGACAGTGCACACGCGCGTGCATGCACGGCACAGAGGCACACATGCACACGTGGGATAAGCTGAAGACAGCACACACACATGCACTTGCTCGCTCACGTGCACAGTGCACACGCGCATGTGTGCATGGCACAGAGGCATACAAGCACGCATGAGGCATAAGCCGAAGATGGCACACACCCACATACATTTGCTCACATGGACGGTGCACACACGTGTGCATGCACGGCACAGAGGCATACATGCACACATGAGGGATAAGCTGAAGACAGCACACACACATGCATTCGCTTGCTCACGTGCACAGTGCACATGCGTGTGCATGCACGGCAGAGACACACGTGCACGCATGGGGCATAAGCTGAAGATGGTGCACACACATGCATTCGCTCACACGTGCACAGTGCACACGCGTGTGCACGCACGGCACAGAGACACACGTGCACACATGGGGGATAAGCTGAAGACAGCAGAGCATTAGTTGCTGAATGCAGGTGAAGTTTATGTATTCTTCTTTTCTTACGTTTAACGTTGTTCCAAATAAAAAGTTAAAAGAAAACAGTTACTGTTCACGGACTTGATTCACAAGACTTTCTGAAGACACTTTCTAGGTATTTTAAGATGTGAGAAATTTTGTAGATATGACGTCTGTTCGCTGAAGGGATGAGTTCGCACACAGTGGAACATGACGCAGCCTTGAAGAGGAAGGACGTTCTGCACCTGCTAGGACGTGGATGGAGCTTGAGGACATGAGCCCAACACAGAAGGACACATCCTGTGGGACTGCACGTACACGGGGTCCCTAGAGGAGTCCCATCCACAGAGACAGAGAGTAGATGGTGGGGCCAGGGACCGGGGTTGGGAGACCGGGAGATGGTGTCTCATGGGGACAGACTTTCAAGTTGGGATGATGGAAAGTTCTGGAGACAGATGGTGGGGATAGTCGCACAATAGTGTGAATGCGCCCAATGCCACTGAGCTATGCACTTGAATTGGTTAAGACAGTGAATTGTATGCTGGGTGTATTTTTCCACAATGAAAACAACGTGTTAAACAAGAGAAAATCGTCTTTAAAATGCAAGGAGGCGCTTGAGCTCACCAACAGTCCGGGGAACTGAACCATGCATACAACTACAAGATTGGCAAAAACTATCCGGCAGCCAACACGGACGGGGATGCAGAGCCACGCAGCCTAACGCACACGTGGAGATGCTGTGAAAGCAAGCTGGCCTCACACCACAGAGTCAAATGTGCATACATTCATTACACACAAACGCGGGAACACGGACAGCAGGACCCATGGACATGCACGTCCACAGCCACACACAGAAAAAGCTCAAAAGCAACCCGAATGCCATCAGAAGCAGAATGGGGACATGAACCACGCACACACATGCGACGGAACATTCCACAGCCATGACATAGACGTTTACTCGACATTATTCACGTGTATATAAATTATTTCTTAAACTGTGTATCTGTGTGACGGAGCCTCACAGACGCCACACAGAGCACTGGTGTCTCCCGGGCACGGAGCTGGAAGCCGGGCAGAGCGGGGCTGGTGTGCACGGGTGCCCGTGTGCAGCAGCAAAGCCAGAGCACCGAAATATTGTGAGCACCAAGTTCAGGGACATACTCCTGTCACCGCGGGGAGGTCGTCCGGACGGGCACAGAGCACGTCTGGGCACCTGCTGGGCTCGCTCTCTTTCTTCCTCTGGACGATGGCCACGTGAGTACCATTTTATTATAGCCGTATTTTCCCCGTACGTGACAGAATGTCCCATATTTATGGTTCACGTTAGTCTTTAGAAAGCAACACGGAACCCCAAGAGGCCCGCTTCTCCCAGGGAAGCAGAGGAGGACGGCTCCTACCCAGGAAATGGGGATGCCTCAGCTCCTTCCACCCCCAGGCCTGACCGCAAGCCCGCATGCCCGGGGGAGGGGGGAGGGCGGGCGGGGAGCAGGGCAGCGCTGCTCAGGAGGAAGCTCCCGTGACCTCAGGCCCCGGGCTCACGGAGTGCGTGGAGCCCGCCCCACCTGGTCAAACTTCTCGGTCATTTTGTGCACCACGTTCTGGCCTTGGTTGCTCTGGTACAGCTCGGCCGTCACCATCCCTGCGAGAGAAAGAAGGAAACGTGGTTCAAGCCGACCCTCCTCCTAGGGGACACCACCTCGTCCCTGAGAGAGGGCGGCGAAGCCACTGCATCCAGCCTCACTGGCTGGGCTCTACACGTGCTGTGGCGCCCGCGTGTCTAACGCCACGGGGCTTTCATGAGACACCCTCAGGGCGCCCAGCCAGATGCCGCAGGGGCTTCTCGACAGGCCGGTCCTGGCCCCACAGCCCCTGCATCAGGTTCCGGAGGGAGGGCGAAGCCCCCAGTCGTTCGCTGGTGATGACAACTGATGGGCATGGAACGCGCAGAGCGAACAACAGACTCGTAGTATGAACCTCAGTGGTGCGTGTACTCACTGCAGTCACCCATCGCTACAGCCCACTGTAGGAGGCCCCCACCTCCCCACAGTGGTGCTCCCCTCTCATTTCCCTGGCCCCAGGAACCGCGGAGATGCCGTCCGTCTGTGGACCTGCCCGTTCTGGACATTTCGTGCACATGGGGTCAGCCTGTGTGGTCTGAGGTGCCTGCATCTGTCCCTGAGCACCATGTGTTCAAAGTCCATCCACGTGGCAGTAAGGGTCCGTGTTCCCTGCTGGGCAGGACCGAATAACGTTCACGTTCTGTGTGTCTAATTGCCCCCTTGTACACAGCTTGGAGACCTTCAGCTTCCGGCATTCCTGCAGCATAACCCAGGCACCCCATCTCCCCTTCTCTTTTTTTAAAGATTTTATTTATGGATTTTAGAGAGAGAGACAGCGCATGAGCGGGAGGAGGCAGAAGGAGAGGGAGAGAGAGAGGATCCCAAGCAGACGCCCTGCTGAGCACAAAGCCTGACTCGGGGCTCGATCCAAGCCTAAGAGCATGACCTGAGGTGAAACCAAGAGTCACACACTTAACTGACTGAGCCACCCAGGTGCCCCTATGTCCTTCCTCTTGCAAGCGCCAAGTCTTGTGGGACTAGGGCCACCCTAAGGACTATCTTACTGCTCACAACTGCAAAGGTCCTTCTTCTCAACGAGGTCACATCCTGAGGTCCTGGGGTCAGGACGTGGACGGATCTTTCCTTGGGGGGACAATCACCCTTCGCTCTGCGATAACAAGTCTCCTACGTAAACTAAACCAACGTCTGGAAAAGCCCCAGCCCGCCCGGTCTCTTACAACCACACGTGGGCAGGAAAGGCAGGCCCAGCGGGCCCACGCACGAGGGTCCAGGAGCACGGCTCACCTTCACAGCCACAGCACTGGACGAAGAAGCTGATGAGGTCCAGCAAGGCCAGCTCCCTGTCCACCTTATAGGACTGCACCCACTCCTCGACGGCCGTCTGCAGGGGCAACAGCTAGTGGTGAGCACACGTGTGTGATGAGGTGCGTGGGACCGGCCAGCCATGAGGACACGTGTGTGATCATGAATATGATCCCAGTGGTGAGCGCTTGTGTGTACGTGTGTAATCAGGTGCATGTGACAGGCAGCGGTGAGCACGTGTGTGTACGTGTGTGATCGGGCGTGTGTGACGGGCAGCGGTGAGCACGTGTGTGTACGTGTGTGATCAGGTGATGTGATGGGCAGTGGCGAGCACGTGTGACGGGCACACATGACCACTGAGCAGGCCGGGCAGAACAAGGCAGCAGTGGGTGCGGCCACGACTGCCAGGACACCCGGCCTCCGTGTAGCGTGAGTAGCGACAAACACCAGGAGGGCCCCCACGTCTGCTGCACCCCTGCACCCGCCCCACCCCACGCACCCCGCAGCGGGCGGTACCTGCACCGAGTTCTTCCCCAGGGCGACCATCTCAAAGAGGGTCACCTCTGTGGCGATGGCTACTTTCCTCTTGCGGTGCTTCCGCGGCGGCCGCCCTCGCCGGCGGGTGCCCGGCCCACTGACATCCTGGCCCCCCAAGGGTGCTCCCTGCGCCTAAAACCAAAGGAGGCCATGACGGGGCTGGACCCTGCATGGGAAGCTCTGTGTCCCGGGGAGGGCGAGGAGGGTGCACCGTGTCTCAGGACAGAGGGATGTGCTCAGGATGGGGAGGGGACACGGTGTCTGATGACTCAGGAGGGGACGTGGTGTCTCAGGATGGGGAGAGGAAGTGCCCTGGTGGTCCCGTGGGGCCCTAGTGGACTGGTGGTTCGATGGGCAGGCCGTGCAGGGACAAAGGCCTCCAGGATCCGTGTGGGAGCCAGCCAGCTCCTCGCCTGATGTGGAGAAGCACGTCACAACCCACCCAGCCCGTGCATCCCTCCCAGCAGTGGTCAGTACCAGTATGGAGCTCCTCCTCCTGGCCATCACCTCAAAGAGGGTCACCACAGAGATGAACTGGCCAGCCTGATTCCTGAGCCTCCTGCATGGGCGCCGCCCTCGCCGTCGGGGTCCACTTCCACTGGCATCCCGGCCCCCCGAGGGTCCTTCCTGCACCTACAACCAGAAAGTAGGATGTGAAGCGCTGGTGCATGGAGGCCAGCTTAACGACAGGACCCCTACATCGCAGGACTGAGGAAGCGTGGCCAGGAAGTAGCCGCTACCGCTGCCCATGACCACCAGGGGCCCCCGGGCAAGCGGGGCAGCCACTCCGAGTCACCCACTGCTGCTGCAGGACAGAGGCCTCGGCCGGAGCTTCTGATCCACCAGGACCTCAGCGGAGTGGTCATACACCCGCTTCCACCGCGCCCGTATCCCTAACCATGTCCTCGTCCCAGCATGACACACCCAGTCCACTTGCTGCAGCCACAGCCGTGAACCACCAGTGTCCAGGCGACAACAAGCCATTCTGAAGCCAATCCCGAGGGCTGTCTCTCAGGGCTATAGGGTACCCATCATCCCACTGATCAGAGCCCAGGATGGAGATGGGGAGCTCAAGCCAGTGACCAGCAAGGTCAGGGGAAGTCAGTCCTGTGGGACAGGTGAGCCAGTTCTCCCTGTCCTAAGGGGCAGGTGGGGGCCCAGGGGCCCAGCAGAAGCAGGGCTGAGACCACCACAGCCTCAAGGGCACAAGGAGATTAGCCCAGAACTAGGGGTCACAGGTGCACGGGGCAGAACAAGGGAGTCACAGAAGAACCCGGGGTCATGCACAAAGATGGCGGAACCTGGGAGTCATGGCGACAGTGAAACCTGGGGGTCTTGGCAGAACCTGGGGCCACACATGCAGACAGTGGGCACAGCTGCCCAGCAACAGCATGACCTTCCCTAGTGAGCTGCAGCGACTGCATGAGGACCAGCATGGACACAGTGAGAGAACCAGGGCCACAGCTCCCTTGACCCAGTGCTCCCCTGCCCACTAAAGTCTGACCCTCCAAGGGCTCGCTGACACTGAGTCCTCAAGGGCCACCCTGGGGCACAGAGGGTCTGCAGGACAAGTGCACATTTTAGCACCATACCCCTGCACCCCCACACCCCTGCACCCCCACACCCCTGCACCCCCACACGGTGGGCCTTATGACACGGTCTTCATAACTGAGAACATCCGAGGGCTCTAGGGCTTGGCCAGGTTGGCTCCCTGCCAGCGATAACTGCACTGCAACACACACGTGGTCCCGCCTGTAGGAACCCCACACTGACACGTGTGCCATTAAAGGCCTTGCCTCAGGAATGTGCTCTCACGTGTCTTCAGGAAGATAAATTTGCAAGTGTGCACATACACAGAGAGACGATGAGACAACACACACGTGGTGTGATAGTAATGTGAACAATCGGGGAAAGGAAAAGACTCACTTTGTGTACTGTTTCTGCAACTCTTTTGCAAGTCTGTAATGATTTCAAATAAGAAAGTCTAAAGTTTGGCTTTTGGTACCAGTTATCTGAAGGACGTAGCATGAACTGGTTTACCGTTCACTCCACCCTGAAATATTTACACTGCTCCCTCTTTCCTATCCTACACAACACTAAAGATAATGCCTTTTATCATTTTAAATTTTAACCCAATTCTCAGATGCTAATGAGACAAGTAGAGTGTGGCCAGCTGCACGACATGAGGCAGTAATAAGCACTACAGGCAAGAGTCTCCTTCCCTACCCAGGACAGGATGTTTGTCCTATACCTGCATTTACACTGGGCCAAGGACAGGGCAAGGCTACTTCTATTCCACAATGTATTGGAAGTCCTACTCCGTGGAGCAAAGAGGAGAAGGAAATGAAAGTCATCAGATTAGGAAAAAAGAAGGCATAAAACTAGCTCTGTTTGAGAATCACATGATTGGCTATGCAGAAAATCCCAAAGGACGTATCAAACTATCTCCTCAAACTCAAAAGTGATTTTAGCAAGGCCACAAAATACAAGGTCAGTATAACAAAATCAATCATATTTCTATAAACAAGCAATGAAAGACCAGACATGGAAATTAAAAAACAAACAAACAAACAAACAAACAGTACCTATTACAACAGCTCCTCAAAAATTAAATACTTAGATATCAACTTAACAAAATACATGTAGGGTCTGTGTACTGAAAACTACAAGACTTTGGTGAAAAAAATGAAATAAGACCTTCAGAAACAGTGAGCTATACCATGTTCATGGAATAGAAGGTGGAAATGATGGGGCGGAGCAAGATGGCGGAGGAGTAGGAGACCTAGATTTCGTCTGATCTCAGGAATTCAGCTGAATAGGGATCAAACCATTCTGAACACCTATGAACTCAACAGGAGATCGAACAGGAGAGTAGCAACAACTCTCTGAACAGAGAAGCGGCCACTTACTGGAAGGTAGGGCGTGCGGAGAAGTGAATCCGAGGCGATATTCGGGAGGATAGACGGCGGGGGAGGGGCCTCCGCCGGCCGCTTCTGGCAAGTGCTAGAGCCGCGGAGCACAAAATCGGACCTTTTAGAAGTTGGCTCGGCGGAGGGACGTCGCTGCAGTGGCTAAGCGGGGGGTGGAATCGTCCCGGGACAGTGTGGTCTCAGGACCCTCGGGGTCACGGAGAGACCGGGGGTGCCTGAGTGCGCCAGAGCTCCCAGGTATCAGAGCGGGGAAGCCGGCTGCAGAGACAGAGCAGAGTCGCGGGCTCTCAGCTCGGGGTTGCCATAAACTGTGATCTGCGGCCCAGTCGGGGCACGGCTCCCCCAGCAGGGACCCAACAAGCAGCAGATCCGGGGAGACTCCCCTTCCTTCCCAGGGAGGAGCTGTGCGGGAACGCACTGCAGGGATCTGCTGGGTTTGGAGACTCCGTGCGGAGTCGGGTGCCAGAGATAGCAACGCTTGATCACAGGCCGGGTGAGCACGTAGTGCGGCCGGAGACCGGGGACACGGGAGTGACTGCTTTTCTCTGGGGACACACTGAGGAGCGGGGCCCCGAGTTCTCGGCTCCTCCGGGTGGAGATTGGGAGGCCACCATTTCTGCCCTGGTCCTCCAAAGCTGTACCGAGAGCTTGCAGGGAACAAAAGCTCCTGAGAACAAACCGGAGCAGCTTCCTTAGCCCGGACCGACAAGGGCGGGGCAATTCCGCCTCCGGCAAAGACATTTGGAAACCACAGCAACAGGCCCCTCCCCCAGAAGATCAGCACAAACAGCCAGCAAGCCAAGACCAAGTTGATCGATCAAGGAGAATGGGACAACTCCAGCGCTAGGGGAATACTGCACATAGATTCATGGCTTTTTTTTTTTTTTTTTTTACCATG